GGAATAAACCACGTATATACACAGCACGCCACACAGATATAGCTAACACACCACCTTCAACACACGATACGCGTAAAACACACACACGCAATTCTCACACACACACATAAATACGTACATATATGCTACACATACAGCAAGCCACAAAATAATAACTCTTGACACACACACATACCGGGTGTACACACCACATGGGCACCAGCGATTACACAGGCCCAGACCAATGCACACGACACACATATACAGCAAACCGCATGAAATCCATCGCACACACACAAGACATACGGGATACACACACCACAACGTACATAAAACACACCCCACGCACACAGAAAATAACATAAAAGACACTACACATACGACATAGAACACACCATCGACCACACACACAACATAGACCACACATCACACACACAATCAAAACACCACGCTACATCACCAGAGGACAACACACGTATATGTACGATATGTTGACCTTCTTTCGCACCGTACGTAGCCAACCGTGCACGGACACCACCACAGAGGGGGGATAGACGATGCCACATCAGCTCTCATCCTCTCTCCAACCTCCTCCACCTCGTCAACATCACCTGCAGAGCGGAACTATTACCCACCTCAGCCACCACCACCACGGCACAGCCATCGCTTCCTTTCCGCTGCCTGCACTCGTCCGGGTCATCTCTTAGCCCTATTGCCTCGTGATGAGTAACCAGTGCCGCATCCTCAAATATATCCACACATTGCTGGATGAATGCCCCCCCCCCCCCCACCTCGCCTCCGCAAGCCACCAACCATCCGGAATACAAACGTCTCTCTACATTAAATATACAATCAACATGTGCGTGCTAATAGTGTATGTTATCAAGCTGCAGCTTCAGTTAACTTATAAAATGAATAGCAGGTTCACGTGACGATTTTGACAATATCGCTGGCGGGCGGGGGGGGGCCTTTTCGCCATTTGTTTACACACGCAACCTGTTAGTTGTGTTCTTTAAAAGACGTGCCGAGCACGCTTTGATTTACGTCGTGGCTGCTTGCTCAGAAGGTACAACACACGCTTGTTTGTGTCAACATCACCGCGTTTCCGGCACGCACCACGCACGGCTCGCCAGTGAAAGTGCTTCACCGTCACACGCGTGGAGGCGCGTGAACTGCCACGGCTGTCAGGCCTTGAAGCGGACTAACCTTGCTACGGTTGTCAATGAACAGCAGCACTCGGGGAGACAAAGGCGAATGGGCGCCGCGGTTTTTATCAACATCAACACCCGCACCCACCCCCGGATACGGCCGTCATCGGCTCTCGCTAAACCAGCAATTGCCCCCAAGACGATCGTACGGTATCGTGTCGGGCTATAGCGAGGGCAATCTTCGTATTTTTGCGCGTGTGTGGTGTGCGCTGTATAATACAGATTCGGGTGCAAACAGGACTGTGTCCATTCGGTTAAATGGACTGGTGTCATCATCACAATCGGCATCACGTTCATTATCATCATCAGCAGCAAGAAGCGTGAAGCGGTCGGTCGCTACGACCAAGTGAGACGACAACGACGGATATCGGGTGGCGCTCACGGGCCAAGAATTGGCGTGCTGCGTGTGCCGCGGCGCGTGTTGCGTTGAAACGCGAAGATTCGCCAGCTCCGTTGTGCTCTTCCTTACCTTGGGTGGGCCAATAATGCAAAAGGCAGTGGTGGTGGTGGTGCTAAAGGATGCAACGGTGAGGTGGGAGATAAAGCACGACGATTGTAAAATGGATGGACAATGCACAAAACAGGCGCGGCGGTGGCGGTGACATCACCAACGCTCGTCGCCCCGTTGATGTTCGTCGTCGACGGAGGATGACCATCGCCACACCGTCGTTTACCATCGGCAAAGAACGCTTGCTATACATTTAGTTGACACCGCGTGCTTGCTTTACACTATACTTATCCGTAATGCGGTAGTAATTAATTTTACTGCAGTAATATTACTATCATTGATTTTTTTTTTAACGGCCCATTTTAGTTTCATTACAAGAAAAGAGCGGAGTAGTCTTTGTGTGTTTCAACGCGAATCGCCGGACGCTTTGGGAATATCGACTTGTTCCGACCCATTCACACCCCCCCCCTCAGCCCCAACAACCCCCCGACCCCCCCCCCACCACAATATAACATTTACTTATACACCATTACATAATACACGTGTTACGCACACAACTTGAACAACAATTGGAAAGGGACCAAGACGCGGAAATTGGCACGCCGTACACTATCGATGGCGCGTCGATTCATATTTATAAAGAACCCCCCCCCCCAACTCCCGTATAGCCCCCAACTACAACCATTGACTGTTGGCACACACACAAAAAGTGTTAACGAGCACCTTAATTAATATTTTTCACAGAGACGTAGACAAACAACGGGTCACGTGCGGGGACGATGAGCGAGTCGGGCGGTTGTGGTCGATCCAATTGGGAGTGAAAGTGTGGTTAATGTGGTTGATGCGGTTTAAGGCACTGCCACCCCCCCCTGAACAAAAAGCCATGACTATTGTTGCTGTCAGCGCAGAGTAACGCGACCGCATCGTGAAGGACCCGTGTGTGTGTACGACGAGGCCACGGCAAAAATGTCTTGAGCAAGCGGTGGGTGGTAAGGACTTGCCGCCTTCGCCGAGAGGAGCGCGTGCAATAACTTAACTATGCATTTTGCTATCGTCGTTACAAGAACGTGATTGCACGGTTGTGATATACGGCGCCTATGGAATAAAAAATAATGCAAAATGTATTCGTGGTAAATCGTTCATTTGTGAAGGCAACAACGTTGCGAGTGTTCAAGTAAGGCGATCTCAACGGCGCTGCACGTGTTTAGTAAGGCGATGTCAACAGCGTGTATGAGATTGGTTAAGGTTATCTCAACGATGTGTATGCCGTTACAAGGGCCATCTCTATAATGTCCATCGTGTTTAGTAAGGCAATTTTCAACGCGCGCGTGTATGACATTACTAATGCCATCTCAACAATAGCATGGGATTAGTAAGGCCATCTCAACTATATAGTGAATGCGTACAGTGAGGTCATCCATATAATGCCGTGTGCGTGTGTAGTAAGGTAATCAACAATGCTGTGCAAGTTATGTATTATAGTAAGGCCAAGTCAACATTTCCGTACACGTGTTTAGATTATATAATCAGTGTCCTAAGACTACGTCAATCACTTAAATGCAGTGAGCATGTGTATATTAGGACACAAAGCAAGCACGCGTACGTCATACGACGCGTCAATATCACACGAAGATGTAAACACATTTGTCATCAAAACTGCTCCCAAAAAAGGGGGGGGGGGGAGACCATATTATGCGACGTTTCGAGCAATGGGCCTTCTGCATAGCACACAGAGAGGTCGATTAATGAGCACAGCTAGTAACCACGTGCGGGCTAAAAACACAAATCTATCCTCGTGTTGTAAACGCGTGCGCCAACTACCAAAACGCATCCAATCAATGTCCTAAACATTCGGTGAGGCCGACAACACGAACACGTCGCAATTGAGCACTTCAAGCGATAACCACTTTCACTGCCAACAACAAGCACACGATGGCAACCCCCAAGTAATTTGTAGCAGTAAGCAAGTTGCGCGGCGTTTTCGTTAGTCGCTTACTGTTGCCCCAGCCGCGCCACGCACACCTGTAGTAGTGCATAGTAAGGGATGCACTGGCATCAGTGCAGTTAGTAAGCACGTGTGTGTGTGTGGTCTTGGCTAGAGAGTGCCGCTGGCAAGTTACACATCTGCCCCACGATGCTTATGTAATGCCCGTGCCGTCCAATACGCTAGCACGCAAGCAACCCGTTCGCCGTTGCTGGTGGTGGTGTTATGATGCGCGTCGAGGAGGTGTGTTGTTCTCGTGAACGCACGTGCCCACACATGCCTTGTTCACGTGCCAGGGGGTGGCTGTTGCCGATGGACATGCTTGTTCGTTATACTGGAAGTATGATGGTTTTTCTCGGCATGTGTTTTTTTTTAGGCTACACACGCCTTTGTGCGCAGGAAAACTAATCTGAACACCGAAAGCGTGTAACGGTGAAATAAGCGCGTCCGAAGCGCGTTATTTACCAACGGGATGTGCAAAGGGCACGGTGCCACGTTATTTAAATATGCATTTCCCAGCAATATATTTGTGAATTTGAAATGCCACTTTTTGGTGTGTAAAAACGTGTAAAAGCGCCGACAAAATAATACCCGTGCAGTGCGCTTTAGCCCTGCCCTTACTGAACGCGCGGCCTTTGCAAAGCTACGCTGCACTGTAAATACAAACGTCTAACGTTTCAGGTGACGACCCTTTTTCAGACCAGATAAGAACATTAATTCGGCACAAATCGTTACATTAAACGGCATCTACGAAGGATGTGTTTATATAAATACGCAATCAAAGCACAGTGAAAGCCATAGGCAAACCTTATAACAAAAAAAAACACTCAATTCATACACCCTACTGAATTTTTTGTTCTTGCCGCTGCAAACGTTACGACCCTAGAAAGAACATGCAAGAGACGACGATTCGGTGAATTGTCGGGGGGGGAACCTCTCGCGGGGTGGACACCCGAGTTAGTCGACCCGCACGTGCGAAATCGCGCAGGGGGTGGTGGACATGGCGTGATCGGCCCAACCACCTCGTCCGCTCGCGGCGCGGCGCGCACACGCACAGACAGCACCCACACGAAGCACTCCACCGCGCATCGCATTAAGGCGAAGAGCAACTACTGTACTCGACTGGCCTCGCGAAACAGCCCAAACGAGCCACGGGGCACTCGTGTTAATACTTCCCAACCACCCCCCCCCCCACCCCCCGAAACAAGCTAGCTACGTAGACTGTTGCACGCACAGAGCGTGGCGCACAGAGCGTGGCGCACAAAAGTCGCGCACACAAACACAAAGCAGCTGTATTGTATAGGCTGGTGCGCGCACATCCTGTACTGCTACCATCTATCCAGCGTGGCACAACTCACACACACGCACACACACACCTTACCCTCTCGGGGTGACCATCTCCGATGCCAAGCGTGGAGAGAGCCTCTTCAAGTCTAAAAATCCCAGGGCTTGAGAGCGGCGTCTTGAGCTTTTAGTGTGTGCGTGTGTCTGTTTTAATGGCGCGGGGGGGGGGGGTGTTCCAATGCTTTGGTTTGGACATCCTAGAAATGCACACCCAATCTCTTCTTCGACGCTGTAACTATACCTCATCTCATCCTGCCATGCCACCAAACTCACTCTACACACCACCCCCCCCCCCGAAAACTGTTCTAATCGCAGGCCACCTCCGCCCCCCCCCCCCCACAATGGCTGAGCGGCCACTCCATCCCGTAATCCACAACAGAATATAGACGTACAAGCGGACCGCCTCTTGCAAATACGCATCTATACGGCTCGTACGAAATGGGCGACGAATCTTCTCGTTTCTAACATTATCCAGTTTTATAAATGGGTATACACAACCGCCCCCCCCCCACCAAATTGGTACTAATATAAATCCGGCACAAATTTTAGAAAAATGTTTTACAATGGGAGGAAAAAATCATCCCACGGACGGCCGCTCGATCGGACGGTCGGGACGTGTGGGGAGGAGGGGGTGGGGAGCGCTCGCTGCCGAGAGGCGCGCGGAGTCGTGGAGAACGTGGCGGCGGTGGTGGTGGAGGAGGCTTGCTGTCGCTGTTTGTCTGCCTCGCGACGAGATAGAATCTCCCCCCCCCCACCACCAGCAGCAAAACTCACAATGTCCACGCATCTTTTATCTTCCGTGCAGAGCCATCCCTTCTCTGCAATCCCCGCTAGCATCATCGCCGCCATCCGCTGCAGGTCTTCATCGCTGTCACCCCCCCTCTCTCTCTCTCATGTCCGTGTGGCCGAACCACAACCGCCCCCCCCCCTCCACCTCCCTCCCCACCGTCACATCCCCCCCCCCCAATCTCTTGCATCCTCCACCATCTTCCACAGCGCATGATGGAACCTGGGAGCCTCTCCACCGCCCCCGACCCCAACCCCATCCGCCCTCGCGACTCGGCGGTGGAAGAGTGGCACGAGAAGAAGAAGAAGCCGCGATGGGGGCCGCGGAGCAGAGCGAGGAGCGGAGCGGCAAGCAAGGGGGGGGGGGGGGCGTAGGGGAAGGCAAAGATTCAGAGGGAGATGGGGGGGGGCAGAGCGAGAGAGGGGGGGCAGAGCGAGAGAGGGGGGGCAGAGCGAGAGAGGGGGGGCAGAGAGAGAGGGGGGGGGCAGAGCGACAGATATGGAGGGGGGCAGAGATGGGGGGAGGAAGAGGGAGTGGGGGGGGGATGGGGGAAGAGGGAGATGGGGGGAAGAGGGAGATGGGGGGGGGGAAGAGGGAGATGGGGGGGGAAGAGGGAGATGGGGGGGGGAAGAGGGAGATGGGGGGGGGGAAGAGGGAGATGGGGGGGGGGGAAGAGGGAGATGGGGGGGGGGAAGAGGGAGATGGGGGGGGGGAGAGGGAGATGGGGGGGGGGGAAGACGCGAGTGGAAGACGCGGACGAGGATGGAGACTAAAGAGAAGACGTTCGGAAGAGGAGAGGCGAGCGGGCGGTCTGAGAGGGGAGAGACGAGGAGGAAAGTGAGGACAGGGAGCGAGAGAAGGCGCACACGTTGCGTGGAAGGGCCAATGAAGACGGGAGAGGCACGGAGCGATGGTGGTGGGAGGGGGAAAGGAAGCGAGGAGAACGGCAAGAGGCAAACGGCGGAGCAGCAGGCAGGGCGAGATGGGGCGAGAGAGGGGAAAAACACGAGATGGGAGCTGATGAGGTGGTGCGAGAGCAATGGGGACGGAGGGGGGGGGGGGTGCGTGGCGGGAGGGAGGGAGGGGGTGGAGGAGGGAGAGCGGACCGAGGATGGAGAATGCGAGAGAGGGGAGACGAGAGAGTCGGTGGGGGGAGCCCGCATGGAGAGGCGGAAGAGAGGGGAGAGAGAGCGCACAGAGAGAGAGAAGAGAGGTTTGCGAAAACACTCAACTCTTCCAAAAAAATCTCCAACTCACAAAAAAACGCACCCACAAACAGCGCGCAAACGAAACAACGCAACAAAAAAAATCACAACTTTTTTTTTTGGTCTCGATGGCGATTTATAAAATAAAATCAGGGAGAGCTCCCCCCTCTCTCTCTCCCCCCGCTGCACAGAGGGGGGAGAGAGAGAGTGGGGGGTAGGGGTGGGGGTAGGGGGGGATAGGGGGTGGGGGTCAGGGTGGGGGGTAGGGGGGGGGGCAGAGAGAGGGGACCCAGCGATGGGGGGTGGTTGGTGGGAGACGTCGCGACAGAGAGCGGGCAGGAAGGAAGACGGTCGAAGGGAGAGCCGCGGTGCTAGCCCAGGGAATAGGAGAAGACACCGAGGAGATGAGGGGGTGGGCGATGAAGGAAGGAAGATGAGCGAGAGGGGAGTGAGTGAGGGAGTGAGGAGGAGGAGGCCGCCGCCACCACCACAACCACCGCCGCACCCTCCATCTTGCATTGCTCGCATTCCACGCGCGAGTGGGGGAGGGGGAATGGGGGGGGGGGGCCCCGCGCGCGCCATGCAACGCGCGCTCCCATTGGCGCGCAGCGTGCGCTTTGAAATGCAAGCCGCGCGCCCATTGACTGAGCCGCGCGCACGTGACCGCAAATTAATGAAGAAGAATAGATGCAGGGTCGGGAGAGGGGGGATGCAAAAAAAAAATGGAGGGGGAGGGCTTCGTTGGTTGGGATGAGAGAGGGGAGGATGTTGGTGGTGGACAGAGAGTTTGTTGGTGGATGACGAGGGAGGAGATGATGGTGGTGGTTGGTGGTGTTGGGCAAAGACGAGATGAAGGGTATATAGAACGATGATGGTGATGATGATGGGGAGGTTGTGTGGCACCGTGGGATCAAGAAATCTGAAGGTTGTGGCAAAATTGTGTGCAAGTGTCGTCGAGATGGCCGAGTCTCGACTTGAGTTCCCACCGTCGCTTGTCGCTGGATATTTACAATTTGTGTAAGGGACGGTGGGGGGTTGGGGGTTAATTAAGTACAACTTATTTAGCACGGGCATTTGGGCTGAGGACATCATCGAGTGGGCAGAGTTCGAGAACAGCCAGATATTCACAGCCATCACTGAATGTTAAATCTTAAGAGGGTTACACATATTGTTGTTTTAACTTGCTGACCCGCCCATACTGGACGTATGTGAAAAAGAGCTTAATAGATCATCATATTCCTGCAGTCTTAAGTAAAGATGCTGATTTGGAAGATCACTTGGCCCTTTGACCCACGCTGGTTATGAAACTCATGTTATGCCGACTATTTTAGGTTTCCTGACATTTGTCAGTTCGTAATATGATCCAGGCCTATTTCAGACAAAAGGCACAGATTTAGACCGTCGTTCATTTGCACAAACGAATGCTATTAAATAGGATCGTAAGGACGTCAAAACAGTTTGGGGCAGCCTTCATCCAGCAGTGGAGCATGGCTGCTGATAATAAAAGGCATTTAGGACTCGTTTAATAATTAAAAAGGAAAAACAATCTCACACGTGATAAATGACATCCAATCACATATCTCTAAAGGGAATATTTGTAAAAGTATCCATGACTTGTATGACGAGGAAGGGAAAAACATACACGTCATCAATTATGTAAAATCTCGAATGCACTTTTCAATAAGAAGCATCCAGTTGTGAATATGTGGACATTTGAGAACTCGAAATTCATTGGGGAGAATAACTTTTAATACAAATTACATACCGTACATATCTTTACATTTATATAAATGTAGTTTATTCTACATATTTTATGTGGATCTTCAGTGATAGTTACGATGTTTTTTTTATCCTTCAAATTGCTAGGTGAGTTGCATAGTCTATTCTTCGCCTTGTATTTCCCGTTAATTTCTTTTCAGATTTGCCTGTGATCGCAATAGAACCTCAACCGATTTAACTTGGACAATATATTTTATTGAATCCCCCCACATCCCTTGTTTAGCTTTTGTACCTACTCTTGAGGTGCTAAATCCATTGACAATCTGAATAGTACGTGACCAATGGAACTGGGTGCTTTTACAAAAGTAAAAAAACGGACAACTACCTTGTTCACTTTTGGTAACGATGTTTAAACCACTTAACCTCTAACTAATTTAAATGTAATGGTATACGTTTACTTTCAGCCACGTGTCAATCCACTGCTGGATTAATTAAATCCAGCTTGAAATCCATTTGTCGAGTAACGTTTGCTGTCTACCTCCCAACCATTAAATGTCCTTCATCCTCCCCTTTACGATCAGGTATATAGCTATATAGAGCGTTGGCCTTTATTTAAGGTAAGAGCACATGGAGACCAGCAGTGTCTCTTCAATGTCTGCCTTCAAAGACATGTAGAAGATACTCATTAACCTCTCACCCAAACACTAACGGTGGCTCTGACAAAAACCACGGATGCTTCACACAAAACAATGCAACCCGGTGGAAACTTCGGATTTAAAGATAGCCCAAGCTCATCCCTGCAGGGATTCCTCTACCACCGTTAAAGTTTATAGTTTTTGGATTCTAACCATGGCAAAAGTGTGTGTGGATAAGTAACTGATAAGTATATATGTACAGAGAGAGAGCTTGTCTTTATTTATAACCAGGTAAGAAAGAGTCCATTGAGACCAGAAGTGTCCTTTTCATGTCTGCCTTCAAAGACACTTCTCATCCAAACACTAACTTTACAAAAACTGTTAAGACAGGCACGGCTGTGGCAACCAAGCCCACTACTGCATACCAAAACAAATGTTAACCCTGGTTTAAACAACATAGGATGCAAATATAAACCGAGGTGATCCCTCCAGGGATCCACTACTTAGCACTGTTTGGAGGTTGGAGATGTGGCACTGTGGACCCTAACCGTGGTCAGATTGCTCGTCTCTTTGTTGTGGATTAAGAAGTGAAAAGAGGAAAAGAAAACTATTCAAACGCTGCGTGGAAAGCTTCTGCGCATATATGGTTACATCATTTCCTGTCAGGTGTACACATTAAACTGGTTTATGTGGCGGTTGTGGACCAGCAAAAAACACAATGGGTCAGACGTTTGAAAGGTGTGTCGTGAGACTTGACATCACACTTGCTAAATTAGTTATTTGCTATTAGTTGAAATATTATATCGTTCTAAAAGTAGTAAAATTATTTCACTTGGCCGAGCGAGCGTCCCTCCCACGGCCAGTTTTGTTAAACCCTGTGACGTGGCTACATTTTTTTTTTCAAATGCCTGCTCTGCAAAATGTATACGAGTAGAGGCAATGGTATTTGTGTATAGACAATGATATTCAATGTCTATACACAAATATACAGGAAATGACACAAGGTTAGGGTCCAAAAGCAAATGTCTTTGCACGGAAACCCCCCCCCCCCCACCCACCACCAAGCTAAATTAAGTTATTTTGAAAAGGCAGTCTTAAACTGGCTTACATGCGGTTTAACACGTAGGCTTTCGCGACCAATATCATCCATAATAGAGTATTTTTTTTGGTTAGACCGTGTAAATATAGATCGTGGAAATATATAAATGTCGTACTCGGATTGTAAATGTTGGGGCTTGGCTCTCCAACACACCGGTTAGTGCTGTACTAGTGACCAATTGCCACGTTCTGTTAACGTGACAACCCTTACTAATTGGCTGTGTCGGGTGGTGGCGGGTTTTAACGACACATTTATATATTTACGCGATCTAACCCAAAAACCTCTATTATGGGTTACATTTATGTTGTGCGGATCAACAACCACGTTGTTGCAGGCACCGTTATCCCTTGTTATGCAATTTTAAACAATACATTTGATTTAAATTATGTTAACACGTGTGAAGACGTGGTTGTGCCTTGCCTTGCCTTATCAAACTATTTATTTATACTTATGCCATTGTCATTAGCACAATGGTCGTTTAATTTCCTTCAATAGCAAGATGTTGACTTGACCTCATCAAGAATAAATCTTTCAGTAATTTCACAGCTTTGCCAGCAGGCTTGTCTTGTGACGTAATTGTTTATGTTACGTACGGTACACATGTGTTCATCACTCCTAATGATTCACATTTTAGATTCTGCGTGGATCGCTCTTGGAAATGAGCAATTGCACTCCACATTGAATTGGTTTCCCACCCGGCTT